AAAAAAAACCTCGCGAACACCCTGAACACAGACCTCCCTTTAGCAGTGGGGGCGGGGCCTGGACGAGTGTGCCGGACGTGGCTGCCAGAAATCGATGCGGCAGCCGCAATTGCGTCCCGACTTTCGAAATAGGATACTTTAAAGGGACGGAAGCAGCTCGGGACCGGACGCCTCGTCCACCTACCGTGTCAGCGAGCCTAGCGAGCCTTGTGGAAATCGCTATAACTTCCTTATCGCGCCATATTGAGGGATGAAAGTGGTATCATCTTCGTCAAGGCGTAGAGGGTTCCAAAAAGCACGAAGTCATTTTGAGGACCACTTGATCGCGGGGAGTGTCTTTAAGGTACTCAGCGCCCTTCAGTTCCAAGTAGGCGAATTTCTCCAACGCCCTTCGATTCCATGCTGGCACCCAATCCTGTAGCAGTACGAAGTTTCCAAGACGGTACAGGCGACGACATGAAGGCAGGATATTCTCCTCGAGTTGGTCGATGTAACCGTCAGCGTTCACTTTCAGTCCGGGGTCCACGAAGAAAATATCGGTCTTTCCATTCCAGGTACGTCCGGTCCATACCATCAACCCGCGCCTTGGCGACTGCGGAAGATGATGTCCTAGACCGTGGCGACGTTGTCGGAGCTGCTCGATGTTGGAGGTCTTCCAGATCGAGAGTACTGGTCTCCAGGTAGCTATCCATGGGTGACTCCATACTAGAAGTTTCGCAGCTGTTTGGAGGTGACATGAATTCCAAAGCCTCTCCAGTCAGGCTGCGACTGGAGATGACTTCATATTTTGGTGTACATGAAGGTGATGGGCGAGATATCGGAGTAACATCTTGGGTATCTTCCGCCCTGGTACTCGTATCCACGTCTTCTCTCTGGGCTGCGTAAAGTTTACTTGTGTGACTCGGCCAAAGTGTCTTTTTTTATTGCCCTTCTCCCCCCCCCCCTTCCCCCAGTAGTCTTCCAAAGGTTGTCGCCGGTTATGTCGATTACGTCGCATCGATACGTACTTCATCTTCGCGAACTAGTCGCCGAAAACGTCGGTCACGTCGGAAACGCCGGTTACGGTCACATGGAAACGCCGACTACGTCCACGTCGCCGACGTAATCGCAAGGTATGAACGCAGCCTCATAAAAGGATTTCCGAACGGCAAGAGTGTCCTGTCCCTGGAGTAGCTGGAAGAATTGGCAATGCCTTCCGGCTACTGCAGAGCCGAAGCACGTTCTGCCGTTCGGGGAGGGAACCTTTTGCAAAAAAAAGAGGATACAAAGGATTCTTAGCGAATAGAACAGCGATAGCAAAAAGCAAAAAAATTTTTACTCAACCTAACTGCCTTCGGCAGAAGTGTCAGCATTTGAAAGCAATATTCGAAGCGTGAGACTGAAGTTCTTTCTAGGTCAGTGAAAAAAAAACTGTGACAGATATCACGAAATCTGGAAGTCCGAACCACTAATTTGGGAACGGCCTGCTGTTCAGGTTTTGAGGCGCAGTGGTCCTACGGAACTCTCGCTACTGCTGCCAACATAGTGGACTGGGTCAGGCATAGGCGAGAAGAAGTATCTCCAGTTAAATGGCTTCATTTCAGTGAGTCACTGCTGACGTTTTTCTTCAAAAATCTTTTGTCTGTTGATCCTTTCCAATTTTGTTGAAGGTTTCATTGTCTTTGGGTCTTTCATCTTATATTATTAAAGATCTCAAGGTCATTGTAGACAAAAATACTGAACTCATGACGGAACAGTTTGCGCGGATACTGAATCAGTCGTCCATGTTGCTGTTGGTGACTTTCTTAACTCCTGTCTACAGAGGTCAAAATGATATATCGCTTTTCACAGAGGTTAGCAATGAATAACTGCTACAGTTTGACTTCTGTTTTGTATTATGTTTTGACACATGTCACAAATCAGGCACATTTTTAATGTGTGAATAGTTTCTTTCTAACAACTATTCATATATTTCAGTTAGCGAGGGAATATTGGAACTGTAACGAGGACCTTTTGTCAGTGGAAGTACCTCAGAGGCGATTGATCACTCCAAAATACATCTCACAAGAACTTGCAAATGATAAGCAGGCATGTGAAGAAGTGACGGAAGGTATTTTGAAGGTATTCCTTTCTTGTTATTTGTTGCTTGTAAAAAAATTTCCTCGATATGCTGATGTTTGATTGTGCAACGCCTAACATTATGTTCCCTCTCGACAATGCAGACGAGTTGAAGGTAGAAATTGCTCGGTCAAGTTGAAGGTAGAAATTGCTCCGAAATGCAGAAGCCGCCGTTCCCTGCGCAAGGTAACGCGTGTGAAAAAACAATGGATATACCTTCTTCATAGCTCGCTGTACCTTCTTCATAGCTCGCAACTGCTTGGAACGTATGCCATGACCCAGCCGCGATAAACACTCTCCGATCCCCTTTCTGCCACATATTCACCTTTAATGTTTCATTACTTTTGCTCTATCGCGCTGGCGTCTCGATCATTTATGTACTCTCGCCACATCATCGTCTGTTTCTCTTGTCTGTGCCTAGCGTCTGTTCGTTGTATGCTTTTCAAATGCTTGGAACCAGCAGGATCTTACTTACCATTAGTGCGTTTGCTATATTTTTTTTACTTATCTCTTCAATGGTCATTACTTACCAACTTCGCGTTCATACTGTAACATCTTACTACTCACGATTGGCAATCGTTAGGTCTGTCTTCAGAGGTAGTGCATGATGTACAGGCAACATCGTCGACCTGCTTAACTTGCTTCCTTGCTGAGGAACACGGAAGGAGGAAAATGCTTTTGCTCGGCTTCCGTCTAAGGGCACGTGCGAAACGGAAGCTGAGCTATCTCTTTGCTTTCGACCCCCCTCAATAATTCTCATTTATTAGATTTTACAACATAGTCCATTAATCTCAATTTCAATGATTTTATTTGATTGGGAGTCGTTGTTGGTCAGTGTTTTTTTTTGCTATGTTTAGTGTACTCTCTTCCGCCCAGCCTCATCTTACCCTACTCTTTGCAATCAAGGCATGTGTTCCTTTCTTTTTCTGTATGCTTATAATTGCCACCACCCTTTTACTTCGACGGTCGTTTGATGGTTATGGGTGAAGTTGAGGGGCACTGAAGAATTTTCGACTTGGCGGTTGTGCGCCCTGATGGTGTAACGTTTTCTGCAGCGTTTGCATTTTATTGGGCTCATCAAATTTCTGTTCTACTTGAGCTGAATTCCTAACTTGCATGTTATTTCGGGATGTGGAGTGTTACATCGCAGTCGCGTCATCGCGCTTTTCTGGAGACTGACACGGGAGATAGAGTTGACGCGCAGCGGTGCTTCCGTGTTAAGGGGTAGGGCACTGATACAAACAATACTCCCACCCCGCCTCCCTTGCAATAACTCATACTTTGCGTCAGTAAGCCAGCATGGGGCAGAGTGTAGAACGTATGCCAGGGCACGCCAGAATTGTCGCGAGCAATTTAGGCTTGATAAAATTGAACGAGAACGCTGCTATTCGCTGGCGAACGCTAATTCAATGTCTACACTTTCCTAGTCGCTCGAAACATGCTCTACGCTGGTTTACGCTGGTGTGCGATAGATTGATATCCATACTTTTCTGGTCGCTGGCGTACGCTAAC